AATTGAGGAAGCGAGAGACAAGCGCTTGATTTAATGCATTGTTCGAGTTGGGCAGCTGATGAGAAGGATATGGTATGCCTTTTTCTGGAGATGGATTGTTGTGATCTTCAATTTGATAAATACTATTGCGGGCTTTGGCATGTTGCTGACTGTGAATTGCGAGGGGTGGGCCTTTTGCTGGGCTCTGCTGTTGCTAAGCTTTTGATTGACAGGATGGCGTCACCGGCAGTGCCTGGGGTGGCCTGGCTCTTAACACCGCCTCTGCTTGGCGCGCATTTGAGAGCGAGCTGGGGGTGCAGCCGCCCGTGGGATTCTGGGACCCCGTTGGATTCACGGCCGATGGCAACGCCGACGTGTTCGCCCGCCGACGCCAGACGGAGATCAAGCACGGCAGAATTTCCATGCTCGCGACAATGGGGTACATGACTCCGGAGATCACTGGCAAGTTCCCGGGCTACCTGTCCCCGTCCTTGGGCCTGAAGTTCGCCGACGTGCCGAACGGCTTGGCGGCCATTTCCAAGGTGCCAGTTCTTGGTTGGGCGCAAATCTTGGCTTACATGGGCTTCTGCGAGGTGTCTAAGCCCCAGTCCCCCGGAACTCCTGGTGCGGCAGGCGACTTCGGCTGGAAGGTGCTGACTTCCACGGACCCAGAGGAGAAGAAGAAGAAGCTTGCTTCGGAGCTTGCCAACGGCCGCCTTGCCATGGTCGCCATCATGGGCATGCTCTTCCAGGACAACTGACATGAATGAGAGAGAGAGAGAGAGAGAAAGAAAAGAAAGAAGAGAACAGAACACAAGAACATATCTAAAGTAACGAACAGGACAGACAATAGCAGCAAGAAAGAGATAGATAAAGAATGCAAGAATGAAAGACAAAAGACAAGTAAGAAAGCAAATAAGGAAGAAACGAAGGGAAGGAAGACATAAATAAGCAAAATCAAGCAAGCAATTAAGCATGAATGAACGGATGGATGAATGAAAGGAAGGAAGGACGGAAAGAATGAAAGAACAGAATAACGAAATAGCGAAATACATGAATTCATAAAGAAATACAAAAATAACGAAAGAAGGACATAACGAAAGAAAGAAAGACACAAATACGTAAATAAATAAATAAAGAAATAAATAACTAATGAAAGAAAGAAGGACAGAAAGAAACAAAAGACAGAAAGAAAGAAAGAAAGAAAGAAAGAAAGAAAGAAAGAAAGAAAGAAAGAAATAAAGAAAGGAAGAGACAAAATGAATAAATAACGAAAATAATTAAATACATACAGAAATGAAGAAAGACAAAATAACGAACGGAATAAACAAAGAGAGACAAAACAAAGAACGAAGTAAGTAAATATATAAATAAATAAATAAATAAATAAATAAATAAATAAAGAAAGAAAAACATAAAGAAACAACTACATACTGAAATAAATAAAGACAGAAAGAAAGAAAGAAAGAAAGAAAGAAAGAAAGAAAGACAGAAAGAAAGAAATAAATAAAGAAAGAAAGAAAGAAAGAAATAACGAAAGAAAGAAAGAAAGAAAGAAAGAAAGAAAGAAAGAAAGAAAGAAAGAAAGAAAGAAAGAAAGAAAGGAAGAAAGAAAGAAAGAAAGAAAGACAGATTCAAAACAAGGAAGGAAGGAAGGAAGGAAGGAAGGAAGGAAGGAAGGAAGGAAGGAAGGAAGGAAGGAAGGAAGGAAGGGAGGAAGGAGGAAGGAAGGAAGGAAGGAAAGAAGGAAAGAAGGAAAGAAGGAAAGAAGGAAAGACGGAAAGACGGAAAGAAGGAAAGAAGGAAAGAAGGAAAGAAGGAAAGAAGGAAAGAAGGAAAGAAGGAAAGAAGGAAAGAAGGAAAGAAGGAAAGGAAAGAAGGAAGGAAGGAAAGAAAGCACAATAAGTCAAAGGGAATAATTGCATGTAAAGGGAAACATATGGAGAAAGCGAAAGGCACGCACTTGATTATGCATTGCTTAAGATTCTTAAGGTCGTTTGTAGAGATGAATAGTATGGCATGCGGGTTTCCAGCTGGGGATTGTTGATCCGCAACTTAATAAAGAAAATTGATGACTTTGGCATGCGTTGCTGACTGTGAATTGCGAGGGGCGGGGCCTATTGCTGAGTTTTGCTGTTGCTACGCTTGTGTTTGAAAGGATGGCGTCACCGGCAGTGCCTGGGGTGGCCTGGCTCTTAACACCGCCTCTGCTTGGCGCGCATTCGAGAGCGAGCTTGGTGTGCAGCCGCCTGTGGGATTCTGGGACCCCGTTGGATTCACGGCCGATGGCAACGCCGACGTGTTCGCCCGCCGACGCCAGACAGAGATCAAGCACGGCAGAATTTCCATGCTCGCGACAATGGGGTACATGACTCCGGAGATCACCGGCAAGTTTCCGGGCTACCTGTCCCCGTCCTTGGGCCTGAAGTTCGCCGACGTGCCGAACGGCTTGGCGGCCATTTCCAAGGTGCCAGTTCTTGGTTGGGCGCAAATCTTGGCTTACATGGGCTTCTGCGAGGTGTCTAAGCCCCAGTCCCCCGGAACTCCTGGTGCGGCGGGCGACTTCGGCTGGAAGGTGCTGACTTCCACGGACCCAGAGGAGAAGAAGAAGAAGCTTGCTTCGGAGCTTGCCAACGGCCGCCTTGCCATGGTCGCCATCATGGGCATGCTCTTCCAGGACAGCTGATATGAATGAAGTCAGCCGAAGAAAGAGAGGCAAAGAGAGGGACAAACACACCGAGAGAGACAGAGAAAGGGAGGTCGAGAGAGAGACAGAGAGAGAGAGAGAGAGAGAGAGAGAGAGAGATAGAGAAACAATGAGAAGCGAGACACACGCGCTTGATTGCATTGTTCGAGTTGGGCAGCGGATGAGAAGGATATGGTATGTCTATTCTGGACTTGGATAAAGACTATTGCGGACTTTGGCATGTGTTGCTGTCTGTGAATTGCGAGGGGTGGGCCTTTGCTGGGTTGTGTTGTTTCTAAGCTTGTGATTGACAGGATGGCGTCACCGGCAGTGCCTGGGGTGGCCTGGCTCTTAATACCGCCTCTGCTTGGCGCGCATTCGAGAGCGAGCTTGGTGTGCAGCCGCCTGTGGGATTCTGGGACCCCGTTGGATTCACGGCCGATGGCAATGCCGACGTGTTCGCCCGCCGACGCCAGACGGAGATCAAGCACGGCAGAATTTCCATGCTCGCGACAATGGGGTACATGACTCCGGAGATCACCGGCAAGTTTCCGGGCTACCTGTCCCCGTCCTTGGGCCTGAAGTTCGCCGACGTGCCGAACGGCTTGGCGGCCATTTCCAAGGTGCCAGTTCTTGGTTGGGCGCAAATCTTGGCTTACATGGGCTTCTGCGAGGTGTCTAAGCCCCAGTCCCCCGGAACTCCTGGTGCGGCGGGCGACTTCGGCTGGAAGGTGCTGACTTCCACGGACCCAGAGGAGAAGAAGAAGAAGCTTGCTTCGGAGCTTGCCAACGGCCGCCTTGCCATGGTCGCCATCATGGGCATGCTCTTCCAGGACAGCTGTCATCGCAACGATAATTCCCCTGTTGGCTTTGCAAACACAAAGTCAGTTGCAGTTCAAAAGGGTAAACCGACCAATGTATATTTCCCCCTCACTGCATTCCCCCCTAGCTTACCAACTCAAAGTAAGTTTTGTTTCAAAGGGCAAACCCACCAACCTAGAATTCCCCTCGCTATATTTCCGCTTTGGTTGTCAATTCAAAATACTTCCCTAAGTAATAGCATAGCACCAACAAGGGGTTATTTGAAATACAATTCCTCAACATAAATGGGACACCCATCCTTTGCCACTAAACCACCAATCCAAACCGCGGGAAGCTGAATTGATCTGCAGTCCGAGTGCATCATGAGTATCCGCCTGGTCCTGAGAAATCCCCCAATGTGTACTAGCTGTACCGATTGGCTGGCTATGCTCTAAGTGATTTTCACTCACCATCAGGAGCCTTCACCATGGCCCAGGAAGCTGTTCATTGGTTTGGATTGGTTTGGGGATTATCCTAGTTCCTTTCGAAGCCACACGGGGAAGATGGGAAGATGGCCGACCTCCAAACCATCCCACCGAGTGATGTGTTTTTAGGACGGCGTGACCGGCAGCGCTTGGGGTGGCCTTGCCCTCAACACGGCTTCGGCCTGGCGATGAGCTGAGAGCGGCGACTCACTTCGCTCAGCCTTCGGCGTTGCGAAAGGAAGGAGGGAGTGCTTGGCACCGGCATTCTTCTCAGGTTTGTTTAGAAATAGATGGGTTCCATTGGTTTGGATTATATTTATGCCAGATAAACCAGGGCTATCTATTTGTTCAAAGGGTCACCTATGTTAGTTCGGTTAACCAACTTCAGGTAAGTATGTATGTGTCCATGTACTGGGACGGGGACCCAACATGGATTTCGGATTTTCATTTTGTTCACCTTTAAACCGACCCCCAACAACTTCCCTCGAAAAAGACAAGTTCCCAAGTTGGCTTTTTCCTTTGGTTCAACTGGGTAACTGAAATTAGCCCCTTGCAACCACGGTAAGCGTACAACCTTGAACACCCAAGTAACTACTGCTGGGTGTGTCTCAAAACAGGGGGGACCCACAACCCCGAGGGTTTATGTTCAACTGGTTGCCCCTTTTGCTGACGAAGGTGCGGGTGGGATGGGTCCAGTTGGGTGAACGTGGATGGCTACCACACAGAAACCATGCCATGCCATGCCATGCCATGCCATGCCATACCATGCCCTACCATGCCATTCCATACCAAGAACTACACTGCACTACATTGTGTCACATTACATTACCAATGACATCACATTATATTACGTTTACTGTACGTTATCTTATGTGCATACGCTCAGCATCACGCACTTCTTGTGCAGAGTATGATGTGAATGAACATAGGAGCGCACAAGAGATCAACAAGAGCAGCGTTTGCGGAGTCTTACAAGCGGCTTCACAAGGAGCCTTGTGATGAGTTTTATATGGAGTCTTATGATGAGCTTTACAATGAGCCTTATAAGCAGCGCTCATAGAGCCTTTAAAGGAGCTTTTTTGCAGGTCAAGACCTGAAAGCCAAGTGTTCAATTGTATTTTCACATCGATCATCCACTCGTCACCCCGCTCACTGCGGCTCCAAGATCATTGAATCATGGCAGTACCAAACAGGGATAAGCTAAAGAAACAAGAACAAAGGAGGGAACACAATATCAACCCCCTTATAAGGAGCCTTAACAAGAGCTTCATAAAGAGTCGTGTAAGGAGCTTTACAGGGAGCTGTTAAATTTAGCTTTATGAGGAGCTCCATAGGAAGTCATACAAGCAGCTTAACAAGCGAGCTTCAAAAGGAGCTTTGCACGCAGCTTTGCAAGGAATTGTGAGCCTTATATGGAGCCGATTCATTCAGGAGCATTTTCGCTAAGAAGCCTTGAAATGAGCTGCAGAAGGAGCTTCAAACACCGTTCGAAAGATCCAACATCGCACAATGCTGTCACACCTAGGCTTCAAAGAGAAACAAATGAAGCGGCTCTATGCATGGAGTTGGAAAGATGCCATGGAGAACCCTTAGAGACTGATGACTTGAGTGACCCGTTGTGCGCATGCCTCCACGCCGACCATTTCGTTGGGCTCAGAGAGAAGCTCCTTCGGGTGTGTCATATAGAGACACCGTCCCATTTTTGCCGGCAGCTTCTCGTAGGATTTTTTCCCGGTGAATTCACGCGCCTCGGCGGGAGGGAGCCGGATTTGTTTGGGGTGGGTGGCGCCTGGCCGGCAGTTTTTTTTATTGTGTTGTTTTTTAATTTATACTTCCGCAAGCTGAGTTGGACATGCTGCTTGGTAGCCTGACATACCCAATTGAGGTGGGCTACGTGGTAAAAAAAAAAGGGCCCAGCGCTCTGCATTGGGCCATCTTCCTGAAGTCGCTATGTCTGAGCATTCGCGAGCATAGTTAGATTCCAGCGGCGTGACAGGTGGCCTCCAGGTGAGGGGTATTGCTATCGTGAGAACCCAAGGGCCTAAGGACCAAAATGGTGGAGACCCCAAGGGACCTAAACGGCACTGATGCTTGGGCTTACAGGGAGAAAGGGAACCTGAGCCTAGCAGATACGCCATGGGGAGTCCACTTCGGGAAGGGTGGCGCCATGGGGATCTTGGTCGAGCCTTGGGTTTTGGACCTTACAACTGGGTGGCTTTGAACCTTGCCGAACGCATGTGTTGGGCAGGTTTAACGACATGCGGCCAAACGAGACCAAACCGGGGCCCAGGGCGGACCGACTTCACAAGATCTTCAGTTTGCCGACAAACATGGCTATGACTTTTAAGAGCTGGAACCTCAAAGTGGACATGAATTCCCACCTAAAACGATGTCCAGAAGCTCTGGGAAGACTACTTTCCTTTCGGTGCACTTGCATGCTCGGAGGGGTGCAAAGCTAGGCGTTATTGTTGCGGCTTGGCATCCGTGTTAGCCGTTTGGGTAGAGGGAAGAGGGACAAGCCCAAGAATGCTCGGGTTCCACTTAGACAAACCCTCCGGGCGGGGATCGTTTTGAGTCTCGGTTCCCTTTGTGGGTCGGTTTAAGTGGGCCAATTTGGGGTACACCTGTTTTGGGACCACGGTGTCTTTTTGAGAGGAGCGATCAGATGAAGGCTCGGGTTCGAAAATTCCAATTGATTTCACAATCAATACGGTCGTCTTAGAGCAAGCTGATGCGAGAAAGAGCCAAACAGATAGAGAGAGAGAGAGAGCGAGAGCCAAGAGACATTCCGGCATCAAACATTAATCCGCAAGATCCTCATGCCAGATGGCAGTGGTTTTCCCTTTCTGTCGTCTGACTCGGATTGCAGAGTAGGATTAGGGATGCCCATTAACAGCCCAGGCCTTCCAAGCAGATAGTCGCAAAGCAGTCAATCTGAGGAATCAGACATTCATTTTACAAGCATTGGCAGGGGCAGTCATAGCCGCTGATTTTTAGAACCAGCGGGCGCGGGGGATTTTTTCGGACCGTTTTAGGGCCGTGGTGAAAGGCCCCTTGCAATTGGCTTTGAACTAGTTTTGTTTTGGTTTATTTTGGCTTGCTTCGGTTTTTTCCCGAGCGAAAACTATGGGTGTGGGGGTTCCATGGTGTGGTTGCTCGGAGGGTTCTGGGTGCCGGTGGGCTCTGCATCATGTGTGCCAGCATGCAAACCAGAGGTTGCCCAGGCTTCCGAAACCTTTGAAAGCCATGTGCAACGTGCAGCGATGTGTCTGGCCCCGTGGCACATGCGGACCCCTTTGGACCGTCCTCTTCCCCTCGCTCTCTGCCTCCCCCTCCCTCCCTTTGCTTCCTATTGTCTGTTTGCGATTTGTTCTCCCTTTCTCAGACACCAGCCGCGGGGCCGTTCGCGTCCAATACCGCCCACCAACACGACCTTACTTGCCGCGGTTCACGCCCGCCTGCTCGCCTCGGCGGCTTCCCCCTTGCCTGCGTGGTTGCCGTGCTTCCGTTTGCTCTGCTCTGCTCTTTGTCATGTGGCTGCCACCTTGTGTCATGTGCGGTACTTGCGCACTTGCCAACGGATGCGCAACACGCATGATTGCTTGCAAAAAAAACCGATGCCGCAGTAGTCTCACACCCCGAAATCCACATTGGGCGTTGGCCATTGTGAATTCCTCCGCGCCGATGGTGGCGGCGTGCCCGAGTTTCTGGCTCTCCGCGCAGCCCGCGCTGTGCCTTTAAGAAATCGAAGCCGTGCGAACCCAGTCCCCTGAGAGCAAAACAACGCGAAGCCTGAGAAGCCCTGAGGCTCTTTAGGGCTCCTTCGTCCTTCTTGGGAAGCTTTTGGAACCGTCTTCTCTGGGGAGATGAGTTAGGTTTGTTGCTGAGGATGGCTTCGAATTCCCGAAGCACCGCGGCCGCCACGGCAGGCAGGCTTGCCGCGGAGGAGTCGCTCAGCCCCAAAAACCCACCAATGAGCGGGAAGGTTTTTTTGCGTGTTTGGAAAAACCTGGCAAAAATGCCAAAAAATCTTGGGGTGGGTTTCCCTTTGGAACCACGGCCAAGTTCTCTCAAAATTCCCCAGGCCCCTGCGGCCCAAGCAAATCCAAAGACCCTTCAGTGTTCGGGGTTTGTTCGCGAGGACTTGGATGGTTGGCGAGGACTTGGATGGGCACCCCGCAAGAAGGGCAGCCTAACAAAAACAACAACATGGTTTCACACCATGGGGGCAGTACACTAGGTTCAAGGTTGGTTCATGAGGGACATGTCTCTTGCCAGAGGCAAAAAGATTCGTTTACATTGGTTTGGGAGATGAGTGGCTCAGGGGACTCAGGGGGATACAAGGCGCAATCTCTACGGGTTTATGCATTGTTTTCTCGGAGGAACAACTCAACCCTCCTGCCAGTTGCTGATTTGGACTACCAGTCAAAACGATCCGGGAGTTCACCCTGAAGGGCTACAATCCTGATGGGTTGGGACAGAATGGCCTGAGTGGACCTTATTTGGATCGACCATTTTCTTAGGGTTTGTGGCAGTGTGGAGTCTTGGTTGGAATTCCCCGCAGGACCTGCGAGTATCCTGCTTCCAGTGGAAGCAGTTCCTCAGAGAAAAAAAAAACAAGAACAAAACAGGTAACCATGGGGACCTACCACCCTTCCCTTTGCCAAATATGTTTGGTTTTGTTACCTCAATGGCAATTGGATCACACTCCACTCGACATTTTGCCGGTTGCCCCGCTTGCACCGCACGAGGTGTTGCTGCCCTTTTGGGCGGAGCCGCCTTTGTTACCCCGAGCACTTCCAGTGGGCATCTTCGAGCGGCCAAGACTGTCGGACGCCTCGGCTCGCCGAAACGTTTCGGGCGAATACTCAGCAGTCACCCTCCCTGCTTGATTCGTGGGGCCCCAAACGTTGGGGATTTTGGCCGCCTTTTTCTGGGTTTCCTCCCCTTTTTCGCCGCGGGGCGAAGTCTGGCCTCATTTGCTGCAAGACTTCCATTTCTCACTCATGGGTCTCTTGGCTTGTCGAAAAACCGACACGGGTGCTTCTTAAAAATCAGGGAACGGTTAAATTCCCCTTTTGGATTAGACACGCCACAGATGTGGTCATGGTTTCCTTGTGGTGCCCCACTGATGGTCAGGGAATTGGCCTTGCCGAGGGGGTCCCTGGCCTGGGAGGGCGTCTCCTGTCCACCACCATGGAACCCACCGGATCGTCCATTCTAAAGGAATATGGTCTTGGACCAGTCAGGTTCCGTGGCAAGCAGGTGGGTACTCGTTGTGATGGATCCTTGTCCGAGGATTAGACAACCCTGGTAAGATTTCTTGCAACCATGGTGGCCCACGGAGTTTTTGACCAGACATGTGAATTTTCAACGTAATAACCCCCCGACTGGTGGGCGTGTCCTTTTTTGGAGTTGGTACCCTGTTGTTTGTGGCTTTAAGGGGAAGCCAAAAGGAAAACCGAAGCCATTAGGCGCCACCCTACCAGCCATCCGAATTCAAAGACCCCCCACCTGGCATTGGCCATTGGGGGAAGCCTGCCAGTCATGTCAACACTTGTTCTATGACAGTTGGCACGGATTCGTACGCCGTGGCTGGCTGGATGGCACCTCCGACGGAAAACCAGCTTGGCCGACGCAGTCGAGACATGGTGAGTCGAATGCGGCGGGAAGTCCATTGCAGTTTCATCATGTCAACGGTCATACAGGAGCTCATGGCAACGAATCGCGGATCGATTGGCGGCCTGCGGCGCAGAGAGCAGAGTGTCGCCTCACTGACAGCGTGGTTTTGTTGCAGGCTATGCCGGCTATGCTCAATAGGGTTCGGGACAAGCAGGCTCACTAAAAAATCAACTACAACAGCAGGACTCTGCTTGCCCTACCCACATTCTCGTGCTATTCCTGGTCGCAGGGTGGGTGATCCTGGTCTTTCTGTTTGTTGCACATGTGAGATTTGATTGTTGGTCTGCCCATGTTCTCACATCCTCTTGGGTTACACAACATCGGGACCAGGGCTCATGTATATGCAGGTTTTTTTTTGCTAGAGGCGAACAGGCTGACGTTTTTGTGTTGCCTTTGTTTGAACCGGTTGTAAATGCACCTTCTGGTTCGTTGGTCAAAGGAGCAGGTCCCCTGATACAAAGGTGTCCCTATCTTGTTGCGTCAGCAAGTCAAAGGAGCCTGGGGCTGTGATCGAGCGAAAAGAACGGCGGCTTTTTGATTTCGGCAGCAGGAGCCCAAAGTTTGAATCCCGTGAAGGGGCCAACACGTTGCGCTTGGCTTTGCCGCCATTTGTCAAGTCTTGGGATGGGGTTTGAAGGGAAACTAAAAGGAAGCCAGCCCCCCAAGAGCGTCACAGCGCCCATGCAGCGGATTCATGGCATTGTCGGTCTTGTTCCGATAATCCAAAAAAAGTCCCTTGTTCCCGATGGGTGATATAAATCTTCCAGTTTACAGTTGAGACTTAAGAAGGTTTATAGTTATTGTGCTTCTCTTTTCGTAATCTTGGGAAGGTTGTGGTTAGGTAGAACCCAAGAGCTGAGACCGCGGTCAACATCCGACCGCTCCCACGGATATGGGTGTGTGTTCTTTGGAGGCTACCCTTGTAAGAGGAAACCACAAGGAAAACCGACAGTTTGAGATTCCCTAATTTTGGGAAACCCCAAACAAAAATCCGCCAGTTTGGGGTTCCCCAATTCTGACACTTTCGTCCTCGTTTTCATGGAGGTCTTGGATCGGCGCTGAGGCGTCAGCCAACGCTTCGGCCGCTCCCCCCGTTTCCGCCCATCCGATGGAGGCGGCTTGCTGAGTTCTTGGTCTGTTCATGCGACTCGTGGTGAAAGTGGGTTTGACCCCGCTTGACCCAAATTTCTTGAGTCATTGCAAGATCAATCTTGTCATGTTTGGCTTTCCGTTTTTTTTTTTTTTGGTTTTTTTTTGTTTTCAAGCTCAAGTGAATCAATATAAGGTCTGCCTAGATTTGTTTTTGCGAGCTGACCGATCGGGGAAGCCAGCGCATGATGCAGGTCCTTGGATTCAGTTGGTTTGCCTTAAACATCCAGGCAAGCGAAGGAAAGAGGGCAGTGGCCTTGCCAGAAGGTGTGGAAAACAAGAAGCCCTTTGGAGTCTGTACTGCCGGTTTTGGGTCGACTTCTTTGCTAAAGGAGGCATCATCACTCAGATAGCAGGACTGGGCCTACAACCAACATTTCCCAACTTTTTGGGAGTACCAAAGCTAATTGCAAAGCAACCGTTTCCGGGGGTGGCTTGGTCAGAGGCCGAACATGTGGTTTCTGTTGCATGTGCTTGATCCGAAAGCAAGCACACTCGGCACACCGGCATTTGAGTTGCCTCGAGTGCTTGCCTCTTGCGTTTCAATGCAGCAGCGCCCGAACCTTCGTTGGCCCTTTTAGTAGATACCTGGCTGCCAATGATGCATGGGTGAAAAGCAAGGCCTAAGAAACCTGTGGGTTTATAGCAAGGCCTATATAAACCTTTATAACTTGTCTAACCTATAACCATGTTGGTAGAACCTGGTACAACCAGAAGTCACCAGGCTTTGGTCGCTCAATCGAGAAGTCAAGAAAAGGGCAAGCTTTGACAGCAAGACGCAGCACCTCACGCGAAACGTTGTCTCCATGGGCGGCTTTGGACCCCCTCGACATACTCCAAAACGGGTCGTAAAACGAGCCGGAACCTTTTGACGTGTGGGTTTGTCTTGTTTGAGGGTACCGTTTTTTGTTGTGCGAAGGGAAAACGAAAAGAAAAAGCCGCAGCTATTTTTGGGGTCCCCTAAAAAGCAAACACACATCCACACCATCCGAGTTTTGACTTCGACCTGAGTTTGACCCTCCAAATGCGATTCTTCTCCCCGCGCCTTGACATGCGACGCCCGAAACGAGAGAGGCGTCGGCTACCATGGCAGTGGCGGGTGCAGCCCTGGCCGCCTGCCTTGGACGGAAGGCGAGCAATCGAGCGATCAAATCCGGGGCCGGGTGTGGCCGGTTTTGGAGTTGGTACCCTCCCAAACCCACGTTGCACTTGACGGGGACCCGGTCCCACAAAATTGATCTTCCAAGAACCCGACAGGGGCCATGTTAGGAAGGGTATCAACCTTTTTCCCTCGTAAAGGGAAACCGAATGGACACCAACCATCCTTTTTTGGGCTCCTATTTTAAGATACACCAGCTTTTTGTTGGTGTACTTGATACTTTTGTTGCACAAAGTGCCGAATCCGCCCAGGTAACCTAGGATGAATCAAGCGCTGGTTGATTCAAACGGGGGGGTGGCAATTGTTCACCCCAACATTTCCGCCAGGGTGATTAATTCAAGGTAACAAAGTCATCCCTTTTCTACATTGGCCAAACATATGCACATGGAGGTTTCAAGATCTATTTGAAAGCACGCACGGGTCAGGATTCCAGGATTGCCCCTGCTCTCAGATCTGTATGGAGCCTCAAATTGGTCGAACCAAAGCGGCTAGGAGCCCGGCGATTCCCTCCAGGCCCCTTAAATGTCGATGTTAAGGTCATTGAGGCAGGTTGTCATTGGCATGAGGTCAACATCGCGGCTGCATTTGGAGCTTGTCACTGGCAATTGCCACTTTGGTGGCCTTGGATTCGGAAAAAATGAAGCTTCTTATCCTTCATCCTTTGGAAACGAACTGATTTTTGTTGGGGGCGGGGGCGTGGCTGATGTCGAGTTTGACTTTGCTGGCCGAGTCTCGGAATCAAACAGAGCTGAGTACAGAGTCAGTGGGGTCTCTTGGGTTTTGAAAGCCAGTCGGGTATCTTTACAGTTGGGCACCCCAGCACGTTGCTATTATTTTTCGTATCATCAAATAGCACGCCCAAGTTGCGCACAAGAACCGTGCAGCCCGCTATCCGAAAGCCAAGATGCACTCTAGAGAAGGGGACACCTTAAAATGAAACAGCGACGTCTTATAAACCCGAAACTAGCATTGCAGATGATGCCAGGAGTTTCTGGCTCACTGAAAGGTCATGAGGAAAGTGATTTGGAGGCTAAGCCACTTGCACGAATCCATGGTCCATTCGCGGCAAACAGTTGGAAGGGATGAGTCAATGAGTCTACAGCTTCTGCATGTTGTGAGAATGCTCGCGCGGAATTTCACAGCAGTGCAACCCCCCAGTTGGCCATTGCACTTCGGGGGTTGTAATGAGCCCTTGAAGCCTCGAAACAAACATCTTACCGGGAATGTGCTCATCGCCAGACGCGCCAAAAGTGACCAGTTGCCGGACGCTTTCTGGATTCACTGGGGACTTCTTGGGTGTTATAAAGGACACCCACAGACACACAATCACTGGGGAACAGCTGCAGCTTGATTGACATGTTGTTTTGCACATGAAAGCACGTCGTTGGTTCTCTTCACATGTCATGTCACTCATGCAATGATTCCCATTTTTGGTCTTCTTCCCCCGGTCGCGCCAGCTTTTTGCTTCGGACTCCGATACTGTGGTTTTTGCGGGTCAAGTCTCATCTCTCATATGGCTTTGGGGAGATGCGCAGACTCGCCAGGCCACTGCGAGCGCCAAGCATGTGGCGTGGGGCCCCAGAGGGATGGCTCCCCAATCGCCAGCTGTTTTGGGGGTCCCCAACAAATGTCTCAGCAGTTTTCCATTAGGTTTCCCTTTGACACCGCAAAAAAAAGGTACCCTCAAAAGAACGATACCCCCAAATCACGGAAGGAGGCGAACAAGATTGAGTACGGAGTCGGTTGCAAGGACGGACAGACAGGCTCTTGAGGTTCCATGTTCTGCAGAGCTGGGCCATGTCTGATCCTATTCAACGTGGAAGAATGACCGAGATGGAACCCCCCACAGCTCAGAAGGGGTCGTGGTTCATTTTCGAATTCGCGGAGACCGACTTCCACTTGAATGTTCGGGAAAAGCAATCACCGCTGGCTTCATACCCGAGAAGTTTACAAACCTATACACAAGCCTGTATTCATAGTATATATATATACATGCACATGTATACATATGTATACATATATATACACACATACATGCACACGTCTCGCTTCGCGTGTGCGTCGCCTGTTTGTTCCTTGTGCCTGCCTGCCTGTCTGCCTGCCCTGCCTAACTGCCTGCTTGCTTGTTTGCCTGCATGTCTATTTGTCTGTCTTTTTGTCTGTCTATTTCTCTGTCGGCTTGTCAGTCGTGATTTTTGTCCCCCCAGTTTCGGGTGTGTTTCCGTTGTTGTTTTTCCCCACATTTTTTTGGTTGTTGTAATTGATTTTGTTTGTTTGTTGAGTTCGTGTGTGTGTGTGTGTTTATGGGCTTGCATGTTTGTATGTGTTCATTATTATTATTAGTAGTTTGATTCGATTTTGTTTCTGTACTTTGGTTTGTTTGTTGATTTGTTTGTTTGTTTTGGTTTGTTTCGTTTTGTTTGTTTTGATTTTCTGTCTGTCTGTCTGTTTGTTTGTTTGTTTGTTTGCCTGTCTGCCTGCCTGCCTGTTTGCCGGCCTGCCTGTCTGCCTGCCTGCCTGCCTGTCTGCCTGCCTGCCTGCCTGCCTGCCTGTCTGTCTGTCTGTCTGTCCGTCTGTCCGTCTGTCTGTCTGTCTGTCTTTTTGCTTTGCGTTGTTTGTTTTGTTTGCCGTTTTTTGTGTTGTTCACTTGTTTTCTTTTCTTCTGACTTTTTGAGTTCCGTTATGTTCATCGTTCTGTTTTGTTGATAAGTGTGCTGGTGTTTGTTTGTCTTTGTATGTCTGCCCTTCTTTTCCAGCGCATGCGTGTTTGTGTGTGTGTGTGCTTGTGTTCACTGCAGGCACATACACATACCATCTTTTTTGCTCTTTTTTTGTTGGTGCAGACGGTGTCGTCCCTGTGCTAGCATCTTTATCAACGCACCGTTGTATGAAATAAATACGAGCGACAGCTTAGCAGCACATCCTGATTCTCCTGCTGAGAGCGCCTGGTCGCTTGGGTAATTTGCAGCCAACATAAGGCTTCTTGATATAGTGAGTAACAATCAGTTAGCACATCGACCACCACAAATGGTGCCTGCTTTCCCCTTGTCTTGCCTGCAGGTTGCGCTTAAGGCCTTCGAGAGCGAGCTCGGCGTGCAAGCGCCAGTGGGCTTCTGGGACCCCGTCGGATTTACCTCTGATGGCGATGTCTCGACATTCAAGCGCCGCCGATCCGTGGAGCTGAAGCACGGGCGTATCTCCATGATGGCCGCCATGGGTGTCTAGGCTGATCTAGGCTTGTGCGGCGGAAGAAGACGTAGAAGAAGTAGAAGAAGTAGAACGATTAGAAGTTTAGAAAGAGCAGTAGAAGCAACGCAGTAGCATCAGTTGAAGCAGCAAATATCAGCCAAAGAAGAAACATCAGCAACAATGGGGAAGCAGCATGACGTGCAACCATCATTGAGCCTTGTGCCGAGCAACACAGTGACCATCTGTCCATCTGTAGAAGAAGCGCTTGTAGATCTGTTTTATCTTTTCTTGTTGTTCCTTGACTGATACATGTCGCATGAGTCGAACAGGCACTGCAAGAACAGCAAAACGTGGTAGCAGTTGGGCAGGAACACATTAAACACAGCAAGTGCTGGCAAGAGTAAGAGCCTTGGCTGAGGTTACATTACCCCTGAGATCACGGGCAAGCTGCCTGGAGCTGAGTTGCATGAGTTGCATGAGTTGAGCTGGGTGTTGGTGTATAGTGCATTCATGGTGCATGTGGGGCGCATGCGTACACGTTTGCTGTGATCAAATCAGCCCTGATGTTGGCAGCAGAGACTTGTGAATGTGGCATGAGGCGATGCTATGGCATGGCCCGAAAGCTGCCGTGCCAAGACATGACATGACATAACATGAAGCTGTGACATGTTGTGACATGCTGTGACATGCTGTGACATGCTGTGACATGCTCTGACATGCTCTGACATGCTGTAACATGCTGTGACATGTATAGCGTATCATGACGGAACGCAACCTGACATGATGTGACGTGGCACGGAATGACATGACTGCCAGGCCAACTTGTGGTGTTGTGGTGTCAGCTCATGGGTGGCACTTGAGAGCAATTGAACGAAGTTGAATGATGTTGACGTATAATAGAATTCATTGAAGCTTATTGACACGATCACCCAGTTGCTACCACATCACCACCTAAGGCCAGGCTTCCTGTCCCCATCTGCTGGGCTGAAATTCGCGGACATCCCGAACGGGCTGGCTGCCGTGTCCAAGGTGCCCGTGGCAGGATGGGCGCAGATCGCCGCCTACTTCGGCTTTGTGGAGTTCAGCGGTGGCTTCGAGGACTACAAGACCGGCACTCCGGGAGACTACGGCTTCAAGGTCCTGACCTCCTCAGATCCGGAGGAGAAGACCAAGAAACTTTCCGCCGAGCTTGCCAACGGCCGCCTGGCCATGATGGCCATCATCGGCATGTTCTTCCAGGTGCCGTGGCACATGACTTTATACATGCTGCTTATGTTGCTGGCGGAGTTAACAGGTGGTGAGTTTAGTCAGATTAATATACGCACGCACGTACACAACGCCAAACGCATTGTATTCAATCCGTGCTTCCTAGGTTTTGCTTTTCACATTACCAGTTGGCTCAAAACTCCCCTAGACTTGCAAGATCTATTAAAGTTTTTGTTTGATAGATCACAGGGGTTGGTGACATCAGCCCGTTTCCTTGATACTTCACAGCATGTATGCGTGTGTGCTTGGTGCATCATGGTGCATCATATTTCATCTTAGCACTTCATTGTTCCCAGTAGTTGCTAGCTGAAATCTGAAATCTCGCACAGGATGGCTTGACTGGCAGCGCCTGGGGTGACTGGGCCAACTACACTGCCTCTCCCCTGCGTGCCTTCGAGAGCGAGCTTGGGGTGCAAGCGCCAGTGGGCTTCTGGGACCCCGTCGGATTTACCTCTGATGGCGATGTCTCGACATTCAAGCGCCGCCGATCCGTGGAGCTGAAGCACGGGCGTATCTCCATGATGGCCGCCATGGGTGTCTAGGCTGATCTAGGCTTGTGCGGCGGAAGAAGACGTAGAAGAAGTAGAAGAAGTAGAACGATTAGAAGTATAGAAAGAGCAGTAGAAGCAACGCAGTAGCATCAGTTGAAGCAGCAAATATCAGCCAAAGAAGAAACAGCAGCAACAATGAACCATCATTGAGCCTTGTGCAGAGCAACACAGTGACCATCTGTAGAAGAAGTGCTTGTAGAACTGTTTTATCTTTTCTTGTTGTTCCTTGACTGATACATTGTCGCATGAGTCGAACAGGCACTGCAAGAACAGCAAGACGTGGTAGCAGTTGGGCAGGAACACGTCAAACACACCAAGTGCTGGCAAGAGTAAGAGCCTTGGCTGAGGTTACATTACCCCTGAGATCACGGGCAAGCTGCCTGGAGCTGAGTTGCATGAGTTGCATGAGTTGAGCTGGGTGTTGCTGCATAGTGCATGCATTACGCATGCGCGGCGCATGCGTGCACGTTTGCTGTGATCAAATCAGCCCTGATTCTGGCAGCAGAGACTTATGAATGCGGCATGAGGCGATGCAAGATGACATGATCTGGCATGGCCCGAAAGCTGCCATGACATGACAGAACATGACATGCTGTGACATGCTGTGACATGCTGTGGCATGCTGTGGCATTCTGTGACATGCTGTGACATGCTGCGACATGCTGCAACATGCTCTGACATGCTGTGACATGTATAGCGTATCATGACGGAACACAACTTGACATGATGTGACGTGGCACGGCATGACATGACTGCCAGGCCAACTTGTGGTGTTGTGGTGTCAGCTCATGGGTAGCTCTTGAGAGCAATTCAGCGAACTTGAATGATGTTGATGTGTAGTAGAATGCATTGAAGCTTATTGACACGATCACCCAGTTGCTACCACATCACCACCTAAGGCCGGGCTTCCTGTCCCCATCTGCTGGGCTGAAATTCGCGGACATCCCGAACGGGCTGGCTGCCGTGTCCAAGGTGCCCGTGGCAGGATGGGCGCAGATCGCCGCCTACTTCGGCTTTGTGGAGTTCAGCGGTGGCTTCGAGGACTACAAGACCGGCACTCCGGGAGACTACGGCTTCAAGGTCCTGACCTCCTCGGATCCGGAGGAGAAGACCAAGAAGCTTTCCGCCGAGCTTGCCAACGGCCGCCTGGCCATGATGGCCATCATCGGCATGTTCTTCCAGGTGCCATGGGCACATGACTCTATACATGCTGCTTATGTTGCGGGCGGAGTTAGCAGGTGGTGAAGATAAGCACACCGTCATAGATACGCAGCTTGTGTGGTGAGTTTAGTCAGATTAATATATGCACGCACTTACACAACGCCAAACACATTGTATTCAATCCGTGCTTCAGACAGATGCACTGTACTCGCTTTGGTTGGATCAGATCAGACTTGCAAGATCTATTAAAGTTTTTGTGGTTGATATAAATCACACATGTTGGTGACATCAGCCCGTTTCCTTGATATTCACAGCATGTAGGCGTGCCTGATGCATCATAGTGCATCATTTTGCATCTTAGCACTTCATTGACCCCAGTAATTGCTAGCTGAAATCTCGCACAGGATGGCTTGACGGGCAGCGCCTGGGGTGACTGGGCCAACTACACTGCCTCTCCCCTGCGTGCCTTCGAGAGCGAGCTTGGGGTGCAAGCGCCAGTGGGCTTCTGGGACCCCGTCGGATTTACCTCTGATGGCGATGTCTCGACATTCAAGCGCCGCCGATCCGTGGAGCTGAAGCACGGGCGTATCTCCATGATGGCCGCCATGGGTGTCTAGGCTGATCTAGGCTTGTGCGGCGGAAGAAGACGTAGAAGAAGTAGAAGAAGTAGAACGATTAGAAGTTTAGAAAGAGCAGTAGAAGCAACGCAGTAGCATCAGTTGAAGCAGCAAATATCAGCCAAAGAAGAAACAGCAGCAACAATGGGGAAGCAGCATGACGTGCAACCATCATTGAGCCTTGTGCAGAGCAACACAGTGAGCATCTGTAGAAGAAGCGCTTGTAGAACTGTTTTATCTTTTCTTGTTGTTCCTTGACTGATACATGTCGCATGAGTCGAACAGGCACTGCAAGAACAGCAAGACGTGGTAGCAGTTGGGCAGGAACACGTCAAACACACCAAGTGCTGGCAAGAGTAAGAGCCTTGGCTGAGGTTACATTACCCCTGAGATCACGGGCAAGCTGCCTGGAGCTGAGTTGCATGAGTTGCATGAGTTGAGCTGGGTGTTGCTGCATAGTGCATGCATTACGCATGCGCGGCGCATGCGTGCACGTTTGCTGTGATCAAATCAGCCCTGATTCTGGCAGCAGAGACTTATGAATGCGGCATGAGGCGATGCAAGATGACATGATATGGCATGGCCCGAAAGCTGCCTTGCCAAGACATGACATGACATAACATGACCGCTGTGACATGCTGTGACATGCTGTGACATGCTGTGACATGCTGTGACATGCTGTGACATGCTGTGACATGCTGTGGCATTCTGTGACATGCTGTGACATGCTGTGACATGTATAGCGTATCATGACGGAACGCAACCTGACATCGTGCGACGTGGCACGGAATGACATGACTGCCAGGCCAACTTGTGGTGTTGTGGTGTCAGCTCATGGGTGGCACTTGAGAGCAGTTTAGCAAACTTGAATGATGTTGAAGTGTAGTAGAATGCATTGAAGCTTATTGACACAATCACCCAGTTGCTACCACATCACCACCTAAGGCCAGGCTTCCTGTCCCCATCTGCTGGGCTGAAATTCGCGGACATCCCGAACGGGCTGGCTGCCGTGTCCAAGGTGCCCGTGGCAGGATGGGCGCAGATCGCCGCCTACTTCGGCTTTGTGGAGTTCAGCGGTGGCTTCGAGGACTACAAGACCGGCACTCCGGGAGACTACGGCTTCAAGGTCCTGACCTCCTCAGATCCGGAGGAGAAGACCAAGAAGCTTTCCGCCGAGCTTGCCAACGGCCGCCTGGCCATGATGGCCATCATCGGCATGTTCTTTCAGGTGCCATGGGCACATGACTCTATACATGCTGCTTATGTTGCGGGCGGAGTTAGCAGGTGGTGAAGATAAGCAAACCGTCATAGATACGCAGCTTGTGTGGTGAGTTTAGTCAGATTCATATATGCACGCACTTACACAACGCCAAACACATTGTATTCAATCCGTGCTTCAGAAAGAGGCACTGTACTCGCTTTGGTTGGATCAGATCAGACTTGCAAGATCTATTAAAGTTTTTGGGTTGCTATATAAATCGCACATGTTGGTGACATCAGCCCGTTTCTTGGATATTCACAGCATGTAGGCGTGCCTGATGCATCATAGTGCATCATTTTGCATCTTAGCACTTCATTGACCCCAGTAGTTGCTAGCTGAAATCTCGCACAGGATGGCTTGTCTGGCAGCGCCTGGGGTGACTGGGCCAACTACACTGCCTCTCCCCTGCGTGCCTTCGAGAGCGAGCTTGGGGTGCAAGCGCCAGTGGGCTTCTGGGACCCCGTCGGATTTACCTCCGATGGCGATGTCTCGACATTCAAGCGCCGCCGATCCGTGGAGCTGAAGCACGGGCGTATCTCCATGATGGCCGCCATGGGTGTCTAGGCTGATCTAGGCTTGTGCGGCGGAAGAAGACGTAGAAGAAGTAGAAGAAGTAGAACGATTAGAAGTTTAGAAAGAGCAGTAGAAGCAACGCAGTAGCATCAGTTGCAGCAGCAAATATCAGCCAAAGAAGAAACAGCAGCAACAATGGGGAAGCAGCATGACGTGCAACCATCATTGAGCCTTGTGCAGAGCAACACAGTGACCATCTGTAGAAGAAGTGCTTGTAGAACTGTTTTATCTTTTCTTGTTGTTCCTTGACTGATACATGTCGCATGAGTCGAACAGGCACTGCAAGAACAGCAAGACGTGGTAGCAGTTGGGCAGGAACACATTAAACACACCAAGTGCTGGCACAGTAAGAGCCTTGGCTGAGGTTACATTACCCCTGAGATCACGGGCAAGCTGCCTGGAGCTGAGTTGCATGAGTTGAATGAGTTGAGCTGGGTGTTGCTGCATAGTGCATGCATTACGCATGCGCGGCGCATGCGTGCACGTTTGCTGTGATCAAATCAGCCCTGATTCTGGCAGCAGAGACTTGTGAATGCAGCATGACGCGATGCAAGATGATATGATCTGGCATGGCCCGAAAGCTGCCCAAGACATGACATGACATGACATGACAGCACATGACGCTGTGACATGCTGTGACATGCTGTGACATGCTGTGACACGCTGTGACATGTTGTGACATGCTGTGACATGCTGTGACATGCTGCGACATGCTGCAACATGCTCTGACATGCTGTGACATGTATAGCGTATCATGACGGAACACAACTTGACATGATGTGACGTGGCACGGCATGACATGACTGCCAGGCCAACTTGTGTAGTGTTGTGGTGTCAGCTCATGGGTGGCACTTGAGAGCAGTTTAGCGAACTTGAATGATGTTGAAGTGTAGTAGAATGCATTGAAGCTTATTGACACGATCACCCAGTTGCTATCACATCACCACCTAAGGCCAGGCTTCCTGTCCCCATCTGCTGGGCTGAAATTCGCGGACATCCCGAACGGGCTGGCTGCCGTGTCCAAGGTGCCCGTGGCAGGATGGGCGCAGATCGCCGCCTACTTCGGCTTTGTGGAGTTCAGCGGTGGCTTCGAGGACTACAAGACCGGCACTCCGGGAGACTACGGCTTCAAGGTCCTGACCTCCTCAGATCCGGAGGAGAAGACCAAGAAGCTTTCCGCCGAGCTTGCCAACGGCCGCCTGGCCATGATGGCCATCATCGGCATGTTCTTTCAGGTGCCATGGGCACATGACTCTATACATGCTGCTTATGTTGCGGGCGGAGTTAGCAGGTGGTGAAGATAAGCAAACCGTCATAGATACGCAGCTTGTGTGGTGAGTTTAGTCAGATTAACATATGCACGCACTTACACAACGCCAAACACATTGTATTCAATCCGTGCTTCAGACAGATGCACTGTACTCGCTTTGGTTGGATCAGATCAGACTTGCAAGATCTATTAAAGTTTTTGGGTTGCTATATAAATTGCACATGTTGGTGACATCAGCCCGTTTCTTGGATATTCACAGCATGTAGGCGTGCCTGATGCATCATAGTGCATCATTTTGCATCTTAGCACTTCATTGACCCCAGTAGTTGCTAGCTGAAATCTCGCACAGGATGGCTTGACGGGCAGCGCCTGGGGTGACTGGGCCAACTACACTGCCTCTCCCCTGCGTGCCTTCGAGAGCGAGCTTGGGGTGCAAGCGCCAGTGGGCTTCTGGGACCCCGTCGGATTTACCTCTGATGGCGATGTCTCGACATTCAAGCGCCGCCGATCCGTGGAGCTGAAGCACGGGCGTATCTCCATGATGGCCGCCATGGGTGTCTAGGCTGATCTAGGCTTGTGCGGCGGAAGAAGACGTAGAAGAAGTAGAAGAAGTAGAACGATTAGAAGTATAGAAAGAGCAGTGGAAGCAACAGAAGCAGTAGCATCAGTTGAAGCAGCAAATATCAGCCAAAGAAGAAACAGCAGCAACAATGGGGAAGCAGCATGACGTGCAACCATCATTGAGCCTTGTGCAGAGCAACACAGTGAGCATCTGTAGAAGAAGTGCTTGTAGAACTGTTTTATCTTTTCTTGTTGTTCCTTGACTGATACATGTCGCATGAGTCGAACAGGCACTGCAAGAACAGCAAGACGTGGTAGCAGTTGGGCAGGAACACATTAAACACACCAAGTGCTGGCAAGAGTAAGAGCCTTGGCTGAGGTTACATTACCCCTGAGATCACGGGCAAGCTGCCTGGAGCTGAGTTGCATGAGTTGAATGAGTTGAGCTGGGTGTTGCTGCATAGTGCATGCATTACGCATGCGCGGCGCATGCGTGCACGTTGTGATCAAATCACCCTGATTCTGGCAGCAGAGACTTGTGAATGCGGCATGCGGCGATGCAAGATGACATGATATGGCATGGCCCGAAAGCTGCCGTGCCAAGACATGACATGACATAACATGACGCTGTGACATGCTGTGACATGCTGTGACATGCTGTGACACGCTGTGGCATGCTGTGACTTGCTGTGACATGCTGTGACATGCTGCGACATGCTGTGACATGTATAGCGTATCATGACGGAACGCAACCTGACATCGTGTGACGTGGCACGGCATGACATGACTGCCAGGCCAACTTGTGTAGTGTTGTGGTGTCAGCTCATGGGTGGCACTTGAAGGCAGTTTAGCGAACTTGAATGATGTTGACGTGTAGTAGAATGCATTGAAGCTTGTTGACACGATCACCCAGTTGCTACCACATCACCACCTAAGGCCAGGCTTCCTGTCCCCATCTTCTGGGCTGAAATTCGCGGACATCCCGAACGGGCTGGCTGCCGTGTCCAAGGTGCCTGTGGCAGGATGGGCGCAGATCGCCGCCTACTTCGGCTTTGTGGAGTTCAGCGGTGGCTTCGAGGACTACAAGACCGGCACTCCGGGAGACTACGGCTTCAAGGTCCTGACCTCCTCAGATCCGGAGGAGAAGACCAAGAAACTTTCCGCCGAGCTTGCCAACGGCCGCCTGGCCATGATGGCCATCATCGGCATGTTCTTCCAGGTGCCGTGGCACATGACTTTGTATATATGGTACCCCCCAAAACCCACGCCTCAAGAGAATTTAACGGTATTTATAGTACTTTTTAGTGATTTCCACGCACTTTACAGGCACTCCAATTTGACCATCTAACTCATGCCCGCGTCTGCACAGTTGACTGTGACTCTATCCACCTAGAATGCTTCAAAGCGCTTTAAGGCACTTTTGGATTCAAGATTCAAGATTTCCAGGAATCTTGAATCCAGTTTGGCCCCCCCCCAAAAAAATAAATGCTTTAAAGCGCTTTCACGCATCTTCATGCAGGTGGCTCGCGGATTCAAGATTCCAGATCTAGAGTTCTGGCAATCTTGAATCTTGAATCCACAAGTGCTTTAAACGCTTTACAGCATCTGCTTTCATCCATTCCTGTTTGGTTGTGCACCTTATTATCCTTTTGAACTTGTGCGCGGGAAATACAGGTGATAGTTCAGCATATTATGGACATTGGAGAATTGCTTCTTCAACAAATGACTTACAAGAAAACCACGCCAACCCTTTGATATTGAAAACATCTTATAAATACCAGCGGTTTGCATGCTTCTTAGCAGGTTTGTGCAGAACAGTTTTCATTCAGGGAACTTAGTTGTTTTAGTATATTTTGCAGATGAGTTGAGATGAGAGACGGAAGATGCGTAGCAGCAGATAGATGGATGGATGGATGGATGGACGGACGGACGGACGGACGGACGGACGGACGCATGGAGGGATGGATGGATGGCTAGATGGAATGATGGATGGATGGATGGATAAATGGATACATAGACAGACAGATAGATAGACAGATAGATAGATAGGTATATATATATACATATCTATAAAGACATAGATATAGACAGGTAGAAAGAAAGATAGATAGATAAAGACGGGGTTCCTCGATAGGTAATTAGGTAGATAGCTAGATAGATGCGTAGGTATGTAGGTAGGTAGATAGATAGATGGATGGATAGAAAGAAAGATAGATAGAAAGATAGATAGATAGATAGAGAGATAGAGAGATAGAAAGATCAATATGTAAATATAACAAGAGCAAAGAGAGAGAGAGAGAGAGAGAGATAAGAAAAGAAAGACAGACGGAAATAAATGAACAAACCACGAAAGGCATACATAAATAAAGAACAACAGAAAGAAGGAAGGAAGGAAAGCAAGAAGAAGAGAACATGAGTCAAGAAAAGAAAGAGAACAATAACTATAGTTTTTATAATTTTGAAACTTCCGCCCACCAGCTTCGCCGGCTCTACTGGCATGGGTGACAGAGTCTGCCAAGTCCGCAAAACATTGTGAAATGTTTTTTGTTTGGGGGGGGGGGTGCATATTAATACATCTGTCTCTCTCTCTGTATATATGCTGCCTATGTTGCTGGCAGAGTCGAAAGGTGGTGGGGATAAGCAAAACGTCTTAGAGACGTAGCTTGTGTGGTGAATTTAGGCGGAGTAATGCACGCACGCGTCAACACATCGACAGACACACGGCATCCAATCAGATTTGTTGTTCTTTGCATCACCAGTTGGCTCACTACTCTTGATTCTTGTACCCACTTTGCTTGGATCAGGTCAGGTAAGATCTATTAAAGTCATATTGGGTGAGATAAGGTCTTTATACGCAGTGTGAGAGGGGGGCGCCGCCGCGCCCCGTGAAGAGGCTTGCTTTCCGGAGACCGTTCGGATTCGCTGCGGGCTCGGCTCTCCTGCATGAGGCTGTCCCCCGAGTGTGCTCGTGGGTTGACTTGGGGGCGCCCGGGTGTGTGGGGTGTGGGGGTGTGTGGGGGTGTGTGGGGGTGTGTGGGGGTGTGTGGGGGTGTGTGGGGGTGTGTGGGGGTGTGTGGGGGGTGTGTGGGGGTGTGTGCGGGTGTGTGGGGGTGTGTGGGGATGTGGGTGTGTGTGTGGGTGTGTGTGTGTGTGTGTGTGTGTGTGTGTGTGTGTGTGTGTGTGTGTGTGTGTGTGTGTGTGTGTGTGTGTGTGTGTGTGTGTGTGTGTGTGTGTGTGTGTGTGTGTGTGTGTGTGTGTGTGTGTGTGTGTGTGTGTGTGTGTGTGTGGGTGTGTGTGTGTGGGTTTGCGTGGGTGTGTGTGTGTGTGGGTGTGGGTGTGTGTGTGTGGGTGTGTGTGGGTGTGTGTGTGGTCCGGCTCCCTTTTTGGCTGTGGTTTGGGGTTCTTGGCTTGCCCGTTTGTCTCGCTTTTGCCTCGGCCTCTGTTTCGTCCTCGGGCTGCACTGGCGTTGGCTCGTGGTTGTTCTTGTCCGTTTGGGCTGTCCGTGCGGGGGCTTGCTTGTTCTGTTCGGCTCTCGCCCCGGCGCGCTCCTTGCGCCGGGGAGGCTTCGCATCCTGGCCCTGCTGGTGTCAGGCGAAGGCACGGAGCTCTTGCGCTCCTGGCCCTTGTGGTGATGTGTCTGGCCTTATGCAGGCTTTTGGTGCTTCTGCTCACCCAGTTTCTTGGCTCGGAGGCTACGCTCGCTTTGGACAAATGCTTTCTGCGGATTATGGTGCCTCCCCTTGCCGCAAGTCGGGTGAGCAGCGCCGCCCCCTCGGGCTCCGCCGCTGCGGATTCTTCTCCTGGCTCTGGTGGAGCTGCTCCCGCCGCTGTCTCTAGCCCCGTCCCTGTTGGTGCGGAGGCGAGGCTCGCTCTGCCGGCAAGTCTGCTCCCTCCGGTTTCTTCGGGCTGCGCAACGACAGGTTGTGCCTCTGCTGCTTCGCTCGCGCCGCAGGGCTGCCCACTCAGCATTGTTTCCATTAACGCGCTGGCGCCGCATGCTGCAGAATGAAGCGCCGGAGGCCCGCGCCGGCGCCTTCATCGACAATCGATCGCTGCGCGCGGAACATTCGACTGCCTTGCAATTGGCACTTAATGTCACTGACGATCTTGATGGCCTTACTGGCCTTGTCGCTAACCGCAGTACGACGCAGCTAATCGTAACCCATCTTCCACTTGAGCAGGCTATATAAGCGACATGCGCCGCGGCGACCTCGCCGTCCCCTGAGCCGCTCTTCTTCCGTAGAACTCTCGGCGCGCTCCAGTATGCTCCCTCGCACTTTGAAGCGCGACGCCGGTGCCTTGCCGCGGTCGCCATCGCCAAGCGGCGCTATGGTCTTGAGCTTGGTGCGCCTCCCATAATGGAAGAACTGCGTACGGCAGTAGCTGAAGCTTTAGTGAAGCCTTGGGACTCCTGCGTCTCGGGATGTGTTCTTCGCACTCTGTGTCAGCGGGCATGCAGGTGACCCTCGCCAGGCTCGCGCAGACGCGATGGCTCCGTGAGGCAGCTCAGCATGCTATCCTTCGCCGCGCAGGAAAAGTGTGTGTGCCTGCGCAGTGTCAACAATGCCAACACTTTCGCCACTCGTGCCACCTCTCCTCGGAAGAAGCGCGTCAGCCAGTATGAGACAGAGGTCTTGCGCTCCGCCGGACACTTGTTTTGGAAACGCCCCTCATGGGCTCACTTGCGGCCCCAGCATGGTATGCCCGCGGCGGTAGCCGCCGAGAGGTGGCCCGCTTGTGCCCGGCAGTGCGGTGTGTTCGCATTGTGCTTCTCTCGCGCTTGCACCTGCGTAATTGCAAGACAACAAGTACTCCTCAACATCGTGTTGGAGCGCGCCAGCTCGGCAAACAATGGTTCACTTGACTTTCGCTGGCCCGCCTGCGCCGCTGCCTGCAGGGCGTGAAAATGATAATGATAAGACTGATAACCCTGGACATTTCACTTGACTCCATGCGTGGGGTTGCATTCCTTGAGCTGGCCATGGACGTTGAGCTGAGCTCTGGCATATTTGTTGCCAGGTGAGGCGGGGAGCAGCTCTTCTGCGCAGGACTTGCCCGCTTGCGCACGCGTTCGAACAATTCCGGACGGCAGGCGCTTTCTACCAATTCAGAGGCGGTGCGACGCCACCGTTTGGAACGCTTGCTTGTGCAAAAAGTCTGCCGCGTTGAACTTCCCGTACCTGCGGGAGTGCGTACTCTCTTTTTCGCTGACTCCTGCCGTAGCTTCCTGCGCAAAGATAGCCTTGCCACGCATCCTGTCATGACCACTCACGCTGCTACTTGCAGATCCTTGTCCAGCTTGTTGCAGAGTGTAGGACAACAACAGCGTCTTTCTGACATTGCAGTGGATTGTATACAGCCCCGCCGCGATGGGTCATTTGCCTTCATCGCGCGAAGACCGCACAGCGTCGCAGAACGCGGTGCGTTCTTCAAGTGCCAGGCCCCCTGCTGTTTTGCCGCCAGAGCTACTATGGCTCCCTGAGTCCACGCAGCTTGGCAGACACTGTTTTAGCAAATTGTGTGGCATTGACAAAGGCAAAAAAAGTGAGCAGATGTGTTGGTGTTGGCCAAGGTTTGCGAGCGGGTAGATAGATAGCTTGGTAGATAGATAGACAGACAGATAGATAGATAGATCGGGATATAGTCAGGTGGAAACAAGATCGGTAGAAAAAGATATACAGATGCATAGGTATGTAAGTAGGTAGATAGCTGGATAGATAGGTGGGCCGATAATTAGAAAACACATAGATAGATAGATAGATAGACAGACAACCAGATAGATAGACAGATAGATAGGTAGACAGATAGAGAGAGAGATCGATACGCGAACGCAAAAAGAACAAAGAGGAGAGAGAGAGAGAGAGAGAGAGAGAGAGAGAGAGAGAGACAGAGAGAGAGAGAGACACAGACAGACAGACAGACAGACAGACAGACAGACAGACAGACAGACAGACAGACAGACAGACAGACAGACAGACAGACAGACAGACAGACAGAAAGGAAAAACATCAAAAAACAGAAAGAAAAAAGGAAGAAGAGGAAGGAAGGAAGGAAAGCAGGCGGAAGAAATGATAGAGAAAGAGAACTATAGTTCTTGTATTTGTGAAACTTCTGTCCATTGGCTTCGCCGGCTCTACCGGCATCGTGGCAAGGTCTGAATGAATGATCTGCGCAAGTCTGCCAAGTCTGCCAATATTGTGAATTGAGCTCACTTCCGTGAACATGCAAAGCCCGTGGGCGCTTTTTTGTTGTTGTTGATTGTTTTGTTTTGGTGCGGGGTGTGTGTGTGTGTGTGCGTATATATATATATGCTGATTATGTTGCTGGCGGGGTCAAAAGGTGGTGAGGAGAAGCAAAACGTCGTAGATACGCTGTTTGTACAAACACATGGTATTTAATCTGTGCTTCATCGGTTTTTTTCACATCACCAGTTGGCTCACTACTCTTGGTTCTTGTACTCGCTTTGCTTGGATCAGCTCAGACTTGTAAGATCGATCAAAGTCATATTGGCTGATACAAGTTATAGTGCATCATCTTGCACCATCTTGCATCTTAGCACTTCATTGATCCCAGTGGTTGCTAGCTGAAACCATGCACAGGATGGCTTGACTGGCAGCGCCTGGGGTGACTGGGCCAACTACACTGCCTCTCCCCTGCGTGCCTTCGAGAGCGAACTTGGGGTGCAAGCGCCAGTGGGCTTCTGGGACCCCGTCGGATTTACCTCTGATGGCGATGTCTCGACATTCAAGCGCCGCCGATCCGTGGAGCTGAAGCATGGGCGTATCTCCATGATGGCCGCCATGGGTGTCTAGGCTGATCTAGGCTTGTTCGGCCGAAGAAGACGAAGAAATAGATTGACTAGAAGTTTTAGAAAGAGCAGGAGAAGCAACAGAAGCAGTAGCATCAGTTGAAGCAGCAAATATCAGCCAAAGAAGAAACAGCAGCAACAACGGGAAAGCAGAAGAAACAGTAGTTAGCATTGATCACGGCGAAGCATGACGTGCAACAATCATTGAGCCGTGTGCAGAAAACCGCAGTTACCCTCTGCAGAAGAAGTGCTTGTGGAGCTGTTCTATTTTTTCTTGTTGTTTTTTGGCTGATACATGTCGCATGGGTCGAACAGTCACAGCAAGAACAGGAAGACGGGGTGGCAGTTGGGCAGGAACACATTGAACACACCAAGTGCTGGCAAGAGTACGAGCCTTGGCTGAGGTTACATCACCCCTGAAATCACAGGCAAGCTGCCTGGAGCTGAGTTGCGTGAGTTGAACGAGTTGAGCTGGGTGTTGGTGTATAGCGCATGTGGTGCATGCACGGTGCATGCGTGCACGTTTGCTGTGATCAAATAGCATGACGGAACACAACTTGACGTGATGTGACGTGGCATGGCATGACATGACTGCCAGGCCAACTTGTGGTGTTGTGGTGTCAGCTCATGGGTGGCACTTGAGAGCAATTCAGCGAACTTGAATGATGTTGATGTGTAGTAGAATGCATTGAAGCTTATTGACACGATCACCCAGTTGCTATCACATCACCACCTAAGGCCAGGCTTCCTGTCCCCATCTGCTGGGCTGAAATTCGCGGACATCCCGAACGGGCTGGCTGCCGTGTCCAAGGTGCCCGTGGCAGGATGGGCGCAGATCGCCGCCTACTTCGGCTTTGTGGAGTTCAGCGGTGGCTTCGAGGACTACAAGACCGGCACTCCGGGAGACTACGGCTTCAAGGTCCTGACCTCCTCAGATCCGGAGGAGAAGACCAAGAAGCTTTCCGCCGAGCTTGCCAACGGCCGCCTGGCCATGATGGCCATCATCGGCATGTTCTTCCAGGTGCCATGGGCACATGACCCTGTATATGCTGCTTACGTTGCTGGCGGAGTGTAAAGGTGGTGAGGATAAGTAAACCGTCATGGATACGCAGCTTGTGTGGAGAGTTCAGGCAGACTAATACATGCACGCATGTACACAACGCTAAAAGCATTGTATTCAATCCGTGCTTCCTAGAGTTTGTTTTTCACATCACCAGTTGGCTCACTACTCCCTTGTTGAAATATCAGACAGATGAACTATTCAGACTTGCAAGATCTATTAAAGTTTTTTTGGTTGATGTAAATATAAACCACATATTGCATCTTAGCACTTCATTGATCTCAGTGGTTGCTAGCTGAAACCATGCACAGGATGGCTTGACTGGCAGCGCCTGGGGTGACTGGGCCAACTACACTGCCTCTCCCCTGCGTGCCTTCGAGAGCGAGCTGGGCGTGCAGGCGCCAGTGGGATTCTGGGACCCCGTCGGATTTACCTCCGATGGCGATGTCGCGACATTCAAGCGCCGCCGATCCGTGGAGCTGAAGCACGGACGTATCTCCATGATGGCCGCCATGGGTGTCTAGGCTGATCTAGGCTTGTTCGGCCGAAGAAGACGAAGAAGAAATAGATTGACTAGAAGTTTTAGAAAGAGCAGTAGAAGCAACAGAAGCAGCATGATCAGTTATGAGTTGAAAAAGCAAACAGCGCAAAGCCACAGAGGCAACAGCAGCAACAACGGGAAAGCAGAAGAAGCAGTAATTAGCGTTGATCACGGCAGCAGTTGGGCAGGAACACATTAAACACACCAAGTGCTGGCAAGAGTAAGCGCCTTGGCTGAGGTTACATCACCCCTGAGATCACGGGCAAGCTGCCTGGAGCTGAGTTGCATGAGTTGAATGAGTTGAGCTGGGTGTTGGTGTATAGCGCATATGTGGTGCATGCGCGGTGCATGCGTGCACGTTTGCCGTGATCAAATCAGCCCTGATGTTGGCAGCATAGACTTGTGAATGCGGCATGAGGCGATGCAAGATGACATGATACGGCACGACCCGAAAAATGCCGTGCCATGACATGACAGAACATGACATGCTGTGACATGCTGTGACATGCTGTGACATGCTGTGACATGCTGTGACATGCTGTGACATGCTGTGACATGCTGTGACATGCTGTGACATGCTGTGACATGCTGTGACATGCTGTGACATGCTGTGACATGTACAGTGCATCATGACGGAACACAACTTGACGTGATTTGAGGTGGCATGGCATGACATGACTGCCAGGCCAACTTGTGGTGTTGTGGTGTCAGCTCATGGGTGGCTCTTGAGAGCAATTCAGCGAACTTGAATGATGTTGATGTGTAGTAGAATGCATTGAAGCTTATTGACACGATCACCCAGTTGCTATCACATCACCACCTAAGGCCGGGCTTCCTGTCCCCATCTGCTGGGCTGAAATTCGCGGACATCCCGAACGGGCTGGCTGCCGTGTCCAAGGTGCCCGTGGCAGGATGGGCGCAGATCGCCGCCTACTTCGGCTTTGTGGAGTTCAGCGGTGGCTTCGAGGACTACAAGACCGGCACTCCGGGAGACTACGGCTTCAAGGTCCTGACCTCCTCAGATCCGGAGGAGAAGACCAAGAAGCTTTCCGCCGAGCTTGCCAACGGCCGCCTGGCCATGATGGCCATCATCGGCATGTTCTTCCAGGTGCCATGGGCACATGACTCTATACATGCTGCTTACGTTGCTGGCGGAGTGTAAAGGTGGTGAGCAAAATCAAAAAGTCATAGATATGCAGCTGGTGTGGTGAGTTGAGTGATATTATAATAGATGCACACACATCTCAACGCGACATCGACAAACACATGGTATTGAATCTGTGCTTCATAGACTTGTTGTTCTTTTTACATCACCAGTTGGCACACTCCTCCTGATCCTTGTTGCAAGATGAGACAGATGAATGGCACTTGCTTTGATTGGATCAGATCAGAGTTTCAATATGTATTAAAGTTCTATTGACTGATATACATCACAAGCGTTGGTGACATCAGCCCGTTTCCTTGATATTCACAGCATGGATGCGCGTGTCCTTGGTGCATCATAGTGCATCATATTGCATTTTAGCACTTCATTGATCCCAGTGGTTGCTAGCTGAAACCACGCACAGGATGGCTTGACTGGCAGCGCCTGGGGTGACTGGGCCAACTACACTGCCTCTCCCCTGCGTGCCTTCGAGAGCGAGCTTGGCGTGCAGCCGCCTGTGGGATTCTGGGACCCCGTTGGATTCACGGCCGATGGCAACGCCGACGTGTTCGCCCGCCGACGCCAGACAGAGATCAAGCACGGCAGAATTTCCATGCTCGCGACAATGGGGTACATGACTCCGGAGATCACCGGCAAGTTTCCGGGCTACCTGTCCCCGTCTCTGGGCCTGAAGTTCGCCGACGTGCCGAACGGCTTGGCGGCCATTTCCAAGGTGCCAGTTCTTGGTTGGGCGCAAATCTTGGCTTACATGGGCTTCTGCGAGGTGTCCAAGCCGCAGTCCCCCGGAACTCCTGGTGCGACGGGCGACTTCGGCTGGAAGGTGCTGACTTCCACGGACCCAGAGGAGAAGAAGAAGAAGCTTGCTTCGGAGCTTGCCAACGGCCGCCTCGCCATGGTCGCCATCATGGGCATGCTCTTCCAGGACCGCCGAAGTCGGTTCAGATGTGCAGCTATGAATGGCGACCTAGCGTTGACCGGAGAGCATGTCTTCTGTGATGTGACGTTGACCAATGTATGTTTGGCACTTGGTTGCTCGGTCTATCCTACTCTCTGGTGGTTTGGATGATTTTTTGAAGCTATTACAGGCTTTGCGGTTTTCCGGCTTTCGTGTCTTTTGCCTTGTGCTGCATTTGGCTTTTGCTTCTTTCGTCTTGTGCCCTTCTATGCTACAGTCGCCAAACCAAGCCTAGACCAAGCCTAGACCACCTTAGACCAACCCTACACCCTACCCAACTTGAAGCCAATCTACTCCAAACCACACCCTACACCAATCCTCAGCCAATCCCAACCACCCTGCATCAACTGCTAATCTGCTGAAGTAGACTGAAAGGGCGAAGCGCGGGCCTTTTGCGCTCTTGCCAAGTCTATCCCTGACAGGATGGCGTCACCGGCAGTGCCTGGGGTGGCCTGGCTCTTAACACCGCCTCTGCTTGGCGTGCATTCGAGAGCGAGCTTGGCGTGCAGCCGCCTGTGGGATTCTGGGACCCCGTTGGATTCACGGCCGATGGCAACGCCGACGTGTTCGCCCGCCGACGCCAGACGGAGATCAAGCACGGCAGAATTTCCATGCTCGCGACAATGGGGTACATGACTCCGGAGATCACCGGCAAGTTCCCGGGCTACCTGTCCCCGTCCTTGGGCCTGAAGTTCGCCGACGTGCCGAACGGCTTGGCGGCCATTTCCAAGGTGCCAGTTCTTGGTTGGGCGCAAATCTTGGCTTACATGGGCTTCTGCGAGGTGTCTAAGCCCCAGTCCCCCGGAACTCCTGGTGCGGCGGGCGACTTCGGCTGGAAGGTGCTGACTTCCACGGACCCAGAGGAGAAGAAGAAGAAGCTTGCTTCGGAGCTTGCCAACGGCCGCCTTGCCATGGTCGCCATCATGGGCATGCTCTTCCAGGACCACCGACGTTTCTGAAGTCGGCAAAAAGACCAGAGAGACCAGAGAGACCAGAGAGACCAGAGAGACCAGAGCGACTTTGGGATAGAAGGAGAAGAATCCCCTGGTTGGCAGGTAGGGTTCACGTTTTGCGGCACCCCATGATAGTCCATCAGGTTGATTATTCCGGCTGGCGACAGTATCAATGCCGCTACTCAGGATCTCAGTTGAAGAACTTGTGCAGATTGGGCGTGCTTCAGAGTACTGTATCCCCTTTTGTTCGTATGTCTTAAAGAGGGAAGCTAGCAGTTGGAGCTGTTTCTGGTTTCGAGACACATATTCCCAAGAGTGAATGGAAGTCGTGGGCCGTGCTACATGTTGTCTTGCTAAAGCCTGTTCTTGGGTTTATTGTTTTGGATCCTTCCGAAGGGAAGCCTAAGGTTATGTTTCCACACACACCAGATGAGGAACAATCAAACCTGATTAGAATTGGGGACGGTCTCCTCGCTGTTTACTTGGTGCGGAGGTCAACAAGCCCTTTGGATTCTGTGCAGATTTTGGGTAGACCCCTTGAGTAGCAGGCTGGATTAGGGCTCACTTGACGGCTTGCACCTTGCAGTTCAAATCAACAAGCCTTGTCATTTTACAGGATCGCAGCAACTGGCAACCGTAGCTTGGCCATATTTCCTTGCTGCGGCTTGAAGAGGTTGAAAGTCCAACCGAGTATCTTTGCTTGCAAGCAAGGACTGGCTTCATTAGTTGACCCAGTTCAGCTTTCTTTACCCTGTTGGAATTGTTTGACAAACAGTCGTCCACGCCGCGTTGCTTTGGACTATTGAGGAGATTGCAAACAAGTGTCCATCCATGAAGGCTGTGAACGTCGAAGCGCGGGCCGCTTGCTAGTTGCGCTCTTGCCAAGTCTATCCCTGACAGGATGGCGTCACCGGCAGTGCCTGGGGTGGCCTGGCTCTTAACACCGCCTCTGCTTGGCGTGCATTCGAGAGCGAGCTTGGCGTGCAGCCGCCTGTGGGATTCTGGGACCCCGTTGGATTCACGGCCGATGGCAACGCCGACGTGTTCGCCCGCCGACGCCAGACGGAGATCAAGCACGGCAGAATTTCCATGCTCGCGACAATGGGGTACATGACTCCGGAGATCACCGGCAAGTTTCCGGGCTACCTGTCCCCGTCCTTGGGCCTGAAGTTCGCCGACGTGCCGAACGGCTTGGCGGCCATTTCCAAGGTGCCAGTTCTTGGTTGGGCGCAAATCTTGGCTTACATGGGCTTCTGCGAGGTGTCCAAGCCGCAGTCCCCCGGAACTCCTGGTGCGGCGGGCGACTTCGGCTGGAAGGTGCTGACTTCCACGGACCCAGAGGAGAAGAAGAAGAAGCTTGCTTCGGAGCTTGCCAACGGCCGCCTTGCCATGGTCGCCATCATGGGCATGCTCTTCCAGGACCGCCGAAGTCGGTTCAGATGTGCCGCTATGAATGGTGACCTAGCGTTGACCGGAGAGCATGTCTTCTGTGATGTGAGGTTGACCAATGTATGTTTGGCACTTGGTTGCTCGGTCTATCCTACTCTCTGGTGGTTTGGATGATTTTTTGAAGCTATTACAGGCTTTGCGTTTTTCCGGCTTTTGTGTCTTTTGCCTTGTGCTGCATTTGGCTTTTGCTTCTTTCGTCTTGTGCCCTTCTATGCTGGAATACAAGATGTACTGCATTTGTACTTTCTGATGTTTTGCTTGAAGCACTTTTTTGTAAGTCAAGCCGCAACACCCAACAACGACAACGATGTCGCCGACGACGTCGACGCCAACGCCGACGACGACGACGACCACAGCAGCAGCAGCAACAACAACCACTACAACAGCATCAGCAACAGCAACAGCAACAGCAACAGCAACAGCAACAGCAACAGCAACAGCAACAGCAACAACAACAACAACAACAACAACAACAACAACAACAACAACAACAACAACAATAACAATAACAATCACAATAACAATAACAATAACAAACACAGCAGCAGCAGCAGCAGCAGCAGCAGCAGCAGCAGCAGCAACAGCAACAGCAACAGCAACAAGCAACAAGCAACAAGCAACAACAACAACAACAACAACAACAACAACAACAACAACAACAACAACAACAACAACAACAACAACAACAACAACAACAACAACAACAACAACAACAACAACAACAACAACAACAACAACAACAACAACAACAACAACAACAACACAACACAACACATACAACGCACAAAACAACAAACACAACAACAAACAAGAACAACAAACAAGAACAACAAACAAGAACAAGAACAAGAACAGCAATACGAGCAACAACAACAACAACAACAACAACAGCAGCAGCAGCAGCAGCAACAACAACAACAACAACAACAACAACAACAACAACAACAGCAACAACAATAACAATAACAACAAACACAACAAAATCAATAACAACAACAAGAACAATAACAAGAACAAGAACAACAACAACACCAACAACAACAAGAACAGCAACAATAACAGCAATGAGAGCAACAACAACAACAACAACAACAAGAACAGCAACAACAGCAACAACAAGAACAATAATATCAACAATAACAACAACAAGAACAAGAACAACAAGAACAACAACAACAATAACAATATCGACGACAACGACGACAACAACAACAGCAGCAGCAGCAGCAACAACCACAACACCAACCACAACAACCACAACCACAACCAAAACAGCAACGACAACCACTACCACAACCGGAACCACAACAAGAACAACAAGAACAACAAGAACAACAAGAACAACAAGAACAACAAGAACAACAAGAACAACAAGCATAACAACAACCACAAGAAACACAAGAACAACAAGAGCAACAAGAACAACAAGAGCAACAAAACCAACAAGAACAACAAAGAACAACAAGAACAACAAGAACCCCAAGAACCACAAGAACAACAAGATGAGCAAGAACAACACGAGCAACAAGAACAACAAGAGCAACAAGAACAACAAGAACAACAAGAACAACAAGAACAACAGGAACATCAAGAACAACACGGGCCAACAACAACAAGAGCAACAAGAGCAACAAGAGCAACAAGAGCAACAAGAGCAACAAGAGCAACAAGAGCAACAAGAGCAACAAGAGCAACAAGAGCAACAAGAGCAACAAGAGCAACAAGAGCAACAAGAGCAACAAGAGCAACAAGAGCAACAAGAGCAACAAGTAACAACAAGAACAACAAGTGCGACAAGAACAACAAGAAGAACAACAAGAACAACAAGAACAGCAAGAGCAACAATAACAACACTAACAAACAAGAACAACAAGAACAACACGGGCAACAAGAGCAACAAGAGCAACAACAGCAACAAGAACAACAAGAACACCAAAAGCAACAAGAGCAACAAGACCAACAAGAGCAACAAGGACAACAATAACTACAAGAACAACAACACGAACAACAACAAGAACACCACGACCAACAACAAGAACCACAACAAGAACCACAACAAGAACCACAACAAGAACAACAACAACAACAACAACAACAACAACAACAACAACAACAACAACAACAACAACAACAACAATAACAGGAACAAGAACAGCAACAAGAGCAACAACAACAATAA